CCACACTGTCCATTTGACTTTAGTGAGGCCATGTCGAACCCATATTGAAAGCAGATAATGTTTGCTATGGAGCAAGAGGCCAAGCCACCTGTACAGGTTAAGAGCTTGTGAGACCCTCTCACCACAGTGTTGCATCAGAAGAACAGAAATCACACAGCAAACACAGAGACACAGGGATCAGAATTAAAGAGAGAGATTCACACACAAAACACGGGTGGGTACATGCTACACGGCAGAGAGCAAACCCTTTTCTCGCTGGGCAGATTCTTTCTCAGAGAGACAGACGGAGAATAGCCACTGCGATCCAGATCCTACAATCAGCCAATAACAGTGATAGTGAAACAACAGCAAGATTTTTAGAATCGCCCCTTCCTCCCCCTCCGGCTCCCAGATCACAAAAACGTGTATGACTAAGGAAAATCAGGCACATCTCAGGAGAAAAGTGAAGTTGGCAAACTCTAAGCCAGTGTGCAGGCTACATGTGCAAGTCACATGTACAACTCACAAACAAAAATACCACTAATTAAAGAAAGTGGATTATACTTTAAAAGTCTTAGAAAAATTCACAGAGTTTTATGACATAATTTGAAGGAAAGAAGCATTTTAAACTGAGACTAGATCACAGATTTCTGACTTTAATTCAAACAACCCATATAAAAACATTCAGTGCTATTTTGAAGGAGGTTAAAATGACTAAATTGATATTTGAAAAACATTGATTATTGATGCAAAGATTATTGATTTTTATATCTCTTTGAAGCTAAAAAATATTGCAATCCCTGGTACCCTCTGAACTCTGTATTTTTTGCTACAATTAAAAAAATCACATCCCTTAAAATAATAAATGAGACAATATTTTGATATTGAGCTAATAAAACACTTAAACTCAAGAAAATAGTCATGATCATCCTTTCTACCTCAAGTACAATCCTAAATACTGTGAACGCATTTAATAAAGCCAAATATTAATCTTAATAATCAGAGGAACGAGAAAGAAAATTGCCAGCCAGCACTGCTGTCCTGTTGTAAGGAGTCAGGTCAGGGAAAGCTGGACTATGTTCCACGCATGTGCAGAAATCACAGGAATGTGCAGAACGTGCAGAAATTATCTGCTGCTATAGCTCGCTGCATCTCTTGGGCACATGAACTGCCTGTTTAGCCTCATGCCCAGGTAGGAAACGTCAGTAAATCATCCTCTGCGTAAACTGGTCCAATTTCTTCTTTTTTATTTTATTTATTATTTTTATTTTATGTGTATGAGTGAATTGCCTGTGTGTAGGTAAGTGCACCCGTGTCGTGCAATGGCCACGGAGGTCAGAAGAGGCTGTTGGATCCCCTGGGACTGGAGTTACGGGACAGTTGTCAGCTGCCATGTGGGTTCTGGGACTCAAACCCGGTCTTCTGCAAGAACAACCAGTGTTCTTAACTGCTGAGCCATCTCTCCAGTCCCCAATTTCTTCTTATTATAAATCAGATTAATTTTTAGGAATCCTAACTACTCCATTCTCTCTCTTTCTCTCTTTTTTTTTTTTTTTTTTTTGAGACAGGGTCTCCCTGTAGCCCCAGCTGACCTGGAACTCACTATGTAGACCAGCCTGGCCTTAAGTCAGAGATCCACCTGCCTCTGCATCCCCAGTGCTGGGACTTAAGGTGTGCACCACCACACCCGGCTTTCAATTTTCTAAATTTTTCATTATTTTTATGTATTAGTTTTTGTAATACTCGGTTATTATTCGTTGGTAAAAAGGTATTGTAAACTTGATTATGAAGGTGCCAGTTTTGTATCTCAGCTAACTTGGTCTTTGTATGAGTCCATTTTTCATGACCTTCGTCTCCATTTACCTGTGCTCAATTCCGAAGCATTATTTAGGTCTAGTCAGCTTATTATCTGAAAACTGACATTTACAGAGGAAAACCATGTCTCAAAAATGTAGGGCAGGTGTGGTGTTTCGGCGGCCGGGAGAGCTCAGGGTCCTTCTCAGCCTGAGCTGCGGAAGCCCCATGACAGGAGACCAGGCTTCAAAGCACCAAAAAGAGATGTCATGGAGGATGTGCTGCCTGAGATGCCAGGAATTGAAACGCAACCGAGAGGACTAGGTGACCTCCGGGTTCATCCTGGACACCCTGCCATCCCCCAGAGGACAGAGCGCAGGCGGTCGGCTGTGCACCCAGGTCCTTGGGACACAGTTTCAGGATGCTGCGCCTGCACGGTGCGCGCCCGCTGCCCCCAGACAAGGCGCGTTCTGAGCCGCACCTGGGGCCCCGGCAGACGCCTCGTGCCGCGCCCTGATCTAGTTTATCAGAGGCGCAGACACTTCTCCTTTCATCGGGGCGTCTTTTCATTTTGCTCTCTGTTCAAAACACTGGACACAAAGGGTGTTCTTCATCTGTGTGCTGCTGAAACGAAATCTTGAGATAGGAAAAAAGAAAAAAGAAAACAAAAACCTTGCCCTAAATTCCCTTTCAAAAGCGAACCCTGAAAGGCCCCAAGCACAGCTCCCAGTGCTGCGCGGCAGCAAAGCCCAGCCTGCAACCGGAGAGGTCAAGGCCAAGGTCAGTAGCCTGGCTCCCGGCCCCTCACCACCACAGGAAAGAAGGAAAACGGGATTTCTCTCTGTTCTTGATCACCACTGAGATCCAGGGGCCCAGCTGTTTTCTGTCTCCAAGGGATCCTAAAATCAAGCTGCAACGCTGACTCTTTTACTGTGCCAGGCCTCAGGCATGGCTCCTTACGCCCCACTCTGAGCAGCAGAAATTTCAGATGTTTCTTTCATTAATCATCAAATTAGAAATCCTCATTTAGTTCGGTACTAATATGAAAAATTAGTTTTAAAATTGAAGTCTTGAAATCTTGAATTTGGCAACCTTCTGGATAAATATCTTTTAATTGAAAATTATAAGCTAAGTTACAGAAGAGAATAAAAATTAAATATGCTTAATGAAGAAAATACTCAACATTTCTTCATGTATAAATTATCATGGACTTTCTTTTAATCATGCCACATTGTCAAATAGGAAGAAGTAGGATTTCTAACTTTTCTTGGCATAATTATATATGCTACAAAGTATGCATTTACATACCAAGGTCATGGTACAAGGTGCTTTAGGGTCTATCCTTTCAGAATAAAATGTATTATTGATTACTTGAAATGGATTTTCGGAGCCATTAGAGCGAAGGATGTGCATAGAGACACACTAGGACCTTGAACCATGGTGAAATTTCCACAAGAAAAAACTCATAATGATGTGGACTCTTCTTGATTCTACCTGGAAGTTTGATTAGTTCAAGTAACAAAATAACTCATAGACTCAAAAATTTAAGACAAGGTCACATTTACACTCACAGCTCTTTGTAACACATTTGATTTTACCAGTGAGTGGAGAAAAAAAAAAAAAGAAAAACTTTAATGAAAAGCTGTTCAATGAGCAAACTCGTAGAATAGCATGGACAGTAAAACAATTTCTTACATGTAGCCATTGTTTGCAATGCAGATAACCTCAGAATTTTAAATCATGCCCGTAACTGTCTAAAGACCCAGGGGGAGGCATAGGATGCACCTGCATGTTTGACATTTGACTGCAGCTACAGAGACATTTGCCAGATTTTGTGTTTGCTTCAAACAATTCCTCTCCATTCCCTTCCTGTAATACCCCACTACATGAGTGTACATAATTTCGTACACACCTAGAAGTTAACACCTGTTTGTAAAATTGCTCCTGACACGAAGGTGGAGACACCCACATCTGTCACCACGTCTTTGGTTTTGATGAGAAAATGTCAGAATAATCAAAGCCCACTTGCCCAATGAGCATGTTCCACGCTGTTGTGTGATTTTGCCCCTGGTCGTCTTTCAGATCTAGAATATTCTAGTAGTCTGAGTTGATGGTATTCCCTTCTCTGCTGAGAAAATTCTCAGAAATTTAAAGGCAGTCTCTTCCAAATCAACCCCTTCATCTCAGTGCAGATACAAAAGACCTTTGCAAATAAAATGCATGAACTTTCAGCAGCCGCAGTCAGCTTGTCAGGCTTAGCAGGGAAGTTCTGTTTTCTGAGGCTCAAGGGCAAAGAGTACTTTTAAGTATTTGGAAGGTGATTTGTGTACTTACTCTGTGAAAGATGCTCGGCTTACTTTAATGGTGATATTTGGTATTATGTGATTTTGTAAATTGATTTTTTAGAGCCTTGGGCAAAAGAAGGAAAGATTTTCATTTCTTCATTATGGTTCCTTTCTTGACTTTGTTCTCCTTCACTAAAACAGCAACTTAGTTTCAATATTCTGCAGTTTGAGCTACACTGCAGTGGGGCTCATATAGTAAGTCTGAACATTTCATCCCAGAACATCAGGGAGTGCTGTGTGTTTCCTTCCAAGAAATTAAAAAGTTCACTTTGTGGTCTGGAAATGGATTTGCCAAAATTCAATCAGAAACAAAGTAACAGGAAACAGCAAACCAGGTATCTTTTTAGTGAGATGTTGATCTTCAACAGCATCATCTACAATCACCTGGATATTCCTCTTGCCTTGTTTCCTAACTCTCTAGAAAGTAGATCAGTTTATACATAAGCAATACAGCTTCAAAAAGATGGAGCTGATGAGAGACACTGGGTTTTCAGACTTCACAGAGGGTGACAACACAGGTCCTATTTTGGTGGACCATGACCTACCCTTCTACCTTAGATGAGAACCTGGTGGTACTACCCAAAACCCAACCCTGTACTTTCCAGTCCTACACCCAGTTTGTGTTAATGGCTCTCAAACATGGCTTGGAAAGGCAGCAGTGTTTCTGTGCCTGGGTTTTATCTACCAGGTGACTAGCAGGAACAGGGCAGACACGGTTTTCTATCTTAACCGGGTCAAGTTCATAACTAAGTTTTCAACACACTCTTACTTACAAAAAAATAATGAAGAATGACAGCACCCCCCCAAAATCCTGGAGGGGTATTCTAGGAGGAAAAACAACTATAATATTCCATCAGCTTAAGTTTTGAAGGAATTACATACCCAGGCCTTCAGATTCAAACAGACATGTTTCATCCACCCCCAAATCCCGGCACCAGGATAAGAAATTTGCTGTGTTGTCTCGGGCAAAAAAGGAGCCTGAGGGAGCACTGGCTTTGCATGGAATCTTCTTCAATGCCAGAGTCTGAAAAACAAAGAGAGCTCATCAGGTGGAAGACGTGGCATGTCATCACAGAGAGGTAGTGAAATATGATTCTGCTTTCCACAAAACACTTTGGAATGATCTCGTGCTGATAAAAGAGGTCTACGAATAGTCAAGAAATGGCAAGGAATGCTATAGAACCTTCTCTGGCATTGGGAGGCTGTGGAAATCACAGTAATACAGTCAACAGACACGAGTGCGTTCCCTGGCACAAGTTGATCTTTCTTTCTCTCCTAATATCAGTCTTTGCTTTTTCTTTCCTCTAAGCATTCTGTAAGTATTTCTCACAACTACAAAAAATGTGTTTTTCAGCTGTAAAAGAAGAACTCGCCAATATTGAAATGAAATTAGCCTGTCCTGTAATGCATGCTGACATATAAAAAGTTCACAAAATACATACATTCTGCCGGCACTGAAATGAGGGGAACAGCAGAGTCGCTGGCATCACGGGTGCGATGATAATGCCAAAGATACACCAAAAACCTCTTTAAAATGCAGTGCTGGGGCTGGAGAGATGGCGCGGTGGTTAAGAGCACTGGCTGCTCTTGCAGAAGAACCCAGTTCAAATCCTAGGGCCTACATGGCAACTATCAAGCATCTGTAACTCCAGTTCCAGGGGATCTGATGTCCTGTTCTGGCCTCTGTGGGCATTACACAACATGGCTGACTTACACACATGCAGGCAGTACACTCATACACAGAAAATAAAAATAAATCAAAAAAATTTAATGACAGTGCCTGAAGTCAGGTGGGAGGGGCTATGGGAGGTGCAGATAGGGGAGAAGGGTCTGAATATGATCAGGATGTATTGTATGAATGCACAAAGTTTGTGTCTGGAGAGACGGCTCAGGGGTTAAGAGCGCTCACTGGCTGCTCTTGCAGAGGACCTGGGTTCAGTTTCCAGCAGCTACACAGTAGCTAACTATGTCCACAACTCCAGTTCCAGGATGTCTGATGCCCTCCTCTGACCACCGTGGGTACTGCATGACATAGGTGCACTTACATATATGCAGGCAATACACTCATACAAATAACAAATAATAAATTAAAAATGCATAAGTCAATAAAAATATAAAAAGAAATAACAAAGATGACAATCGACAGCCTTTCTTCCAGACGATTTCCTTTGAAGCCATATGATACAGCTTGATATATGCAATAACTCATGTCTATAACTCCATTTTTACCTTAAAGTACCATGTACAGTCTACGGCACTTCAGGGACCACTGAGTAGAGGGCGTGGATGGACTGAAAGAGCCAGAGGGAAGGCAGGTCTGCAGTGGGGCACTGCTGTCGGAGATGGCCACACACACAGTTGCACACAAGTGCTCACAGTAACTGAGACTGCATGCATAAGACCTGAGCAGGATCCAACCAGCCAAAATCCCAGCACAAACGAGAGAGCTCAGGAAGTCCCACTCTAGCTGAGGAGCTACTGGCATTCCATGGCTGCTGAAGGGGGGAGCAATTTTTCTTCTGGGATGTGAGCCTCGAGAGGCAACCCCGTGCTCTGGTGGCTGGTCCAGACCCAAGAACAGGCAGGGACTAAATGGACGCAGTGAGTAGTAAATAAACAAAAAATCAGCGGGAGAGAGAACATGAAGTTGAGAGGGACATGGAGGGGAAGAGACGAAGGATCGGAGGGAAATTTAATCAGAACACACTATAGACGTGTGTCACATATGGATATTAAACATTTGTAAAGGAATTGGTTAGGATACAGGTGTGCATGAAACCAGACAGACATTCCTGTTAACATTCTTTCACACAGACAGGAACTTGGCACCACATCGAGCATCACAGACTTTAACAGAGGAGAGCCAGTTTTCAAGCACTGTGTGGAGCCAAGGGATGCATGTGATGTCAGAGCCTGAGTAAAGCATTTGAAAGATATGAACTACTTGAGGTTTTGTTACTGCATAGTTGGTGTGAAAAGCCAAAGGGAAATGTATTGTTTCAAAAGCCTACTGAAAAATTACACATACAATATCTGTAAATGAGTCCATATGTATAGCTGAACGGTATATAACAAGAAACAGTACCAGACAGGAGAAACTGCTCTTTAAGTTGTTGGCCAGCGTAGTCTGAGAGACTCCCAAAATTACACAGGCTATTGCCACAGCCCTTGATGGCCTCCCAAAACTTGAAGGGAAGACCCTACTGCTGCAAGGAGGACATACTTCGGACACAGGACTTCAAACAAAGGATCTGGAACTGACCTGGAAGCCTCCTCCCTAAAGATCAGCTCTCATAGTTTTGGAGGATACTACCCAAGCTGCTAAGGGATCAGTCGATGGTCCAACCCCAGCTTTACTGCCTAATAACCACATCAATCATGGGTACAGCAAATGACACTGGTGCAGTAGTGGCACTTTTACCTTGGAGGTAATCAACAGCTACCTAATTGAATTTAAAGCCCGCTCACTGGGAGGGAACTCACGTGTGGTACTGTAAATGTAGCCAAATACACATGTGGAAAGGTCATAGATCTTAGAGAAAACCTTAAGGCTCACACATCCCTACATAAATGTAATTTCTTACTGTATGCTTAATATGAATCCTTATATTTACAGACAAGTATACTATATATCACTTATCAAAGAAACTCCTTTTTTCAATAGAAAGAGACTATTACCGAGCTCCACAATTTGTCACACACAGAGGTTAAGTGTCTGTGAGATGCTCAACCCTAAGTAACACATCTACAATGGATGTTAACTCTACACTTAAGGCTTCTGGAACATAGTAGAACAAGGGGTACAGAGAACAGTAATGCATTTCCCAGTTCTCATCAAATGAAGCTCCCTCATACAACAGAGGGAGATGAACACAGAAGATCACAAATGGCCAAAGTGTAGAGAAGAAGAGTGTGCAGAGTGTGGGTCCCTGGACAGGACTCCCATATCAAACTTCACCCACCAGGAACTGTCACAGAAGAGGGGGCAGAAAGATTGTAAGAGTCAGGGGAGGAGGTGCGGGACCAGGAAGCAGAGTCCTACAGGCTCCTGAGAACTTGCTCATATGAACCTACAGCAAATGCTGTCAGCATGCACAGGACCCGTGTCAGCATGCACAGGACCCGTGTCAGCATGCACAGGACCCATGCAAACTCAAGCAGACAAAAACCCTGCATAGAACTGGGGAGATGAGCAGCAGGCCCCAATCTTGGCCAAAGAATTATTGGCAACTGCTTACTGCTGGATGAGGAAGAGCTGATCTTCTTTAAAGGAAAGACTCTAGATAGGCTGGCTAGACCCCAGTGATGAACTTATACTGAGAGACATCTGGGGACACTAACTTGACTTGATAGGCCTTAACACAAACAACAGAATGCATGAAGTCAAGTGGGGGGCGGTGGGAGGGTGTGGATGGGGGAGGTGGTATAAAGATGATTAAAGATATTTTGTATGAAATACACAATTAAAAATATACAGCAGCAGCAGCAACGAAAAGATCAAGAGAGGTGCCTTTGTCAGTTAAAGGCAGAACCAGGTGCACCCTCTATCCATAGGGTAACCAACATGTTGTGGGGTGCTGAGTTCATCTACAGGAATGGTTGGGAAAGGATGACACATGGCGAGTTGGTGATGTTCTAACCCCGATGGCTCCTACAATTCTTCAGGCACACAGATGCTGTGCTATGATATAAAAGCATCTTTTGCTACAGCACAGGAGGGTCTGTCTAACCCAAGAGACCCGTCTTTTCACTGCAGGTTAAATTGGGCTAATAGTAAACATAACTGACATTTTAACATGAATACACAAATACACATATGTGTGCTCCAGGCACTTAGTTATATTAACTTACACATGTGTGGCTGCTTACAAAGTAATAACACTTTTTACTTTGACCTAGTGTAAAGAAATGGTACAAAATATTGAGTTTCACTGTACAATTTAAAAAATTTTTATTTTATAAGTGTTCTGTGTGCATGTAAGTACATCTGTGTATGCAATGCACACAGTGGCCAGAAGAGGGCACCAGATCTCACAGAACTGGAGTCATGGATGATTGTTAGCCACCATGTGGGTGCTGGGAATTGAACCCTGGTCCTCTGCAAGAGCAGGCAGTGCTCTGAACCACCGAGCCATCTCTCCAGCCTCCACTGTGGCCTTTTTATGCATGCTTATGACATAAGTGGATTATACTCACACTAGTCATTACCCTATTTTACCCACTTCCCTGAGCTTTCTTCCTCTTCCCTAATATTCTCCCTTTTACTTTCATTTCTTCTTTAAAATCTAGACTCTGTACATGAAAGAAAATGTGCATATTTGTCTTTCTGAACCGCAGCATTTTACTTCATATGATGGTGTCCCGCTCCGTCCACATGCCTGCAGATGTCATGAGTTCACTCTTCCTCGTGGCTGACTAATCAGCATCATGTGCACGCACCACATTTATTTATCCACCCCAATGGCTACCTAGACTGACTCTCCAACTTGGTGATCGTGGATAATGAAACAGCAAACAGGACGGTGTGATTTACTCTGTGTTATGCTGACTCCGACTCCTTCCCGCATCACCCAGGACTGGGCGAGCTGACTCATAGGATAGCTGTACTTTCTGTTTTGTGGGGAACCTCATAGTGGCTAGATTAATTTACATTCTTACAAGCATTTGTTGGTTTTTGCTATATAATATCTCATTAACTGATTTAGTCCAGGTATCAGCAATGGTTTTCAAAGAAATGCCTCTTCATATGAGTTGCAAAAATAATCATATACATCACAGTTTAATATCTCCTTTGTAAACTGTTTATGAACATAAATTAGTATTTTAATTTTAAAATTAAAATAAACATATCCTGAAATCCAGGAATTGACTTCTAGGAATACATCCTGCTCAAGGGCTGGAGAGATGGTTCAGTGGTTAAGAATACTGGCTGCTCTTGCAGAGGACCATGGTTTGGTATCCATCACTCATATGGTGGCCTACAACTATCCTTAACTCCAGTTCTGGGGGATCCGATGCCCTCTT